TCGCAGGCATTTTGTGTTGCCGACGAACTGATTTGTGGGTGTTTGTTTGTTACAGGACAGCAGGAGGCACTACAGAGTCAGATCGTAGAGCAGGGAACATGAGGGTCCTGTCCGAATTTAGCTGTCCCTGTCTGTCTAATGCGTCCAAGGATCTCATGTTTAATTTTTTTATGCTTGTCATCACCTTTGAACCATTTATTCCACATTCTCTGTTGTTCCAGTGATAGTAACGTGATATGTGTTTTCCGGAGGTTGTAATATGTTCAGCTTGTGATGATGTAAGACAATCAGTTGAGGGTATCAGCTATTGGAAGTGACTTCCGCTGTAGTTATTGTTCTAAATAACCAAAACATAATTACTTACCTCTTACATACCCCATAGAGTGATTTAATATGAATGTAGGCCTATTAGCTCAAATTCATCCATAAAATAATTTAATGTTCCTTGTTTTGATGTTGGTATATGTTCTTTTCTTTTAGTTTGATTTATCCAGTGCTTTCATCAGGGAGTGTCTGATGTATTAATTTATTTAAGAAAATGTATATGTTATATTTTAATAATATTTTAATTTAAAAGTTTATTTTTGAAAATATAGCTTTTGTTGAATATAGTGTATAAAACCCTCATGAAAATTACATACATGAAAATACAGCAGATGAATCTAAGACATGGCAAAGAATTAAAAGGTAAGCAAATTAACTGAAAAACCTGGTCAGCACTTGTTTAGCATTTAAACTATAATTTAAACCAAATTTAAACTGTTACTTTTTAAAGAAAATATTTAACTTATATAGTTACAATAACTTGTAATGTGTTAAATGCTTCTTTGCATTTTTAAAATCAGTGATATGCCACAAAAATATTTAAATATTCTTTATTTTATAGTATTTAAAACCATAGATGGAATGCAGAGAAGCCTCTAGTCTGTAGCCTGACTGATGAACTGCCAACCTGAGGTAAGATAACAATAAACCCTGAGAAAGGCATTTCAGAAATGATCTTTCAGTTTTGAATATGTTTATTTGATGTGGTTATGTCAGATCAAATCAACTCACATATTTGTCAAATTACCATACACAAGTTTAATAAGTGAAGATTATGGGTGCTTGCTCCACAACAATTAGCTTTTTGTTTTTTGCCTACAACACAAACACATGCCACCAAACACATTCTCACACACTGAAGTCTGTTATTAGTGTGCTTGGGCTGAGCCCTGCGCCTGGGATGGTGGTTTGTGACTCATTCTCTCTGTACATTGAAGCTGGCTCCTAATTTATCCCTTCAGACTCTCCCCCAAACCAGCATCCTGTCCCCTCTGTGACCCTTCCTCTTCCTCTTCCTCCCTTCTCTCTTCCTTTCTCTCTTGAGTTCTTCTGTCAGTCACTGGGGAGAGACGCTGATGCTATTTGACAGGGAACAGAATGTGTTCTGGACTTTATGTCTGTCCTTTTTTTTTAGTAGACACATTGGACAAGCTACTTTTATGAGCTGGTTGTGCTGAATCATGATGTTGTGCCATGGCAGAATTTACTAGAGGGCTTTTACAGGTCTCATATAGTGCTGCATGACTGAACAAAACAGAGCGGTCATATATTAGTTCTAAGTGGTCTCACACACACACAGGCATTTCATTGTCCATCAGGGAGAAGAAACGCAGCTTGGGATTTTGAGTGTTTTGTTCCGGATGTAAATATCCTGTATATTCTCAGCCCCTCTCTTTCACATTTCTTGCGGTCTCTGTTATCTGTATTTATTTTGGAGATTTCCAAAAATATTTGGAACATTATTTTTATCATTTATTTAGATACTATTTTTAGCACTTAGACTGCAGTCATTTGATTATTTTTAGGTTGACTTTTTGTTATGTCAAAGTGTAAACATATTCAAAGGATTTCTGATCAATTTAGAAATTAGTACTTTGAATGTCAAAATATGAGTAGAGTCCTAATTTTTATGTAGCCTGTGCCAAAAAACTGTTCTATTTTTTTTATTTTGTATTTTAAAACTTGTACTTTAAGTGTTTTATTTTCTCACTTATAGCTTTCACAGCCAGATTAAAACCCATTGCTCATTCCTTTGAGCCAGGATGCTGTCACATTCAGTAAGCGTCATTGGCTCATCAAATTGAGCTGACGTTTCCAAGTTATGCTGCGTATGTAATGTCCATTTTATGAGTATTTAGCGCAGAGATTTTCATGGCCTGAGAAACTGCTCTTTCTCAGCCCAATACAATGTGTACATGTGTCTTTTTGCAGTCCCTCAGATTTAGTGTTTTTATAGTGAAAATCTATAATTCTCTAGAGGAGTCTTGAAGTTACAGTCACAAGTAACCCGCAATGTACACAGTTCTTATAGAAAACGGTATACTTTCTGAAACACCATTAACTGTAACTTGGAATAGTATGATCTTATAATATTTACAATTACTTTAATCCCTGAGAAAATTTTTCCAGTGTAAAAAGTCTTCACTGTCAGTGGTGTTATTGCAAACAAAAGAGAAATTACATGAGGGTGAGTAAATGATGATAAATTATAATTTTTCCCCCTTCCTTTTTCTTAAACCGTAAACATGGTAAGTGGTGTTACTGGTTCCCACTAATTTTATTTAAGAGTGATATCACTGAGAAAACGGCATGGCAGCTAATGATAAATTATTTTTTTGACTTGATAATTATTTAGTGTGATCTTTAATGAAATGAGAAATAAGATAACAGCATGGTTATGGAATGATACATAATTAATGTAGCATGGTAGGTTTAATGTGGAATTGATGAGATTTGGTTTTTGATATTTATTTATTTTTTTTAGATGGATAAGCCACCACATTTTGGGAATGACCCAAAGACAAATGAACCAGAGCTCCAGAACTATCCAGAGTGAACAAGACACAACATAAACACAACAAGACTCACAGTGTGAGGTCAGTGCTACAGTATGTGCAGTCCAGTAAGCTTATATCATAAGCCTTGAAAATGAAATCAAGTTTTACAAGTGTCAGTTTTTCAAATAAACACAAAAATGAGACCTTGAAAGCAGGGGCACAAAACACAAAAAGCCTTGTGGTAGCAAGAACTGAGCTTATTCTGTCCAGAATTAGACTAAAACCTGAGACCAGAATAACCATGTGAACCTACAGTAATCAGACAAGACCACACTGAAACATGAATTAAACACACATTAATAAAACTGATCAAAGTAAATTCAGATTGGTTGTGATGTACTTGTCCACTGTGATCAACAAAAAGCTGAGAGCCACCTTACAAATGAACAGACTCAGCAAGGACAACCTAGCGATATAAATGAGCTTGGCCAAAAGAAACCGATAAAAGCTTGTACAAACAAATCAAATTAAGGCAGCACTGCATTTTCTCTCAGAATGAATACATTTCAATGTAATCCTTTTGAAATATTCTTTGTTAATTAAAAAGGCTTCTGAAGAAACTGACAATTTGCCAAACAGAAAGAAATGCAGCAAAGTAATTATAATGACTTTGTATTGTGAGTCGCGCATGTAATCCTTTCACCTGAAATCTGTCCTTCAGATCAGAGTGAAGTTCTTCTCAGACAAGTTCTTGTAGTCCATCAAAATCTCTGTATAACATTTGTGCCATTTGTGAACAACGGTCACATTTAAAAAAAAACAAAAAAAAAAACATTTCTTGCATGTTTCTCCGTTAGTACAAAGTAATTTACAGCTGTTGTTCTGAAGTAACCATTGCTAACATATGTGGCTAACTGCATGTGACCTTAATCTAAACCAAATCAAAGACATGGAATTATTATTGACTTCAAACATGTCATTGTTTTAGGGATTTTTTAAAAATCTTTTTTTCTTCCTCCTTCCCTCAGTGTTCAATGTTCATTTAGAATTTCTCATGTCTTAGATTAATGTATGACTGAATAATGAAGATTTGTTAACTCTCTCTCTCTCTCCCCCTTGATGGATGGCAGAAGGAAGTGTTTGAGAAGAGGGACATGTTTCAGTGACGGAGGATGGATATGGATTTGAGTAAGTGCACACTGGATGTCACACACACTGTCACAATAAAAAAACAACAACATTAATACACCAGAAAACAAGCAATGACACACATTTTGAACTTGCTTTAATATTTATCCTCTTGGTGATCAATATCTGGCCATGGTTGAGTGAAGTCATAAAATGAAACTAAGCTACTATGTGCAGAGTAATGAATGCTAGGGGAGTTTAAATGGTCAGTGAACATGTTTATACAGCTTTAAAGTTAAATTCAGTTTTCTCTGTAAAAACAGCTGCTGTTCAGTTTCATGAGTTATACATTTGCTGTTAAAAGTTGTAATTTTAAGTAGCCACAGCTGTACATCGTGCCCCCTTCAGCCTCCAATCATGTTAAGTTATCCATACCAAACGAATCAACTCAGCTGGAGTTTACTGGCAGCAGCAGCATTCCAGAGTCCTTTTCCAATCAATCGCCTCCTAGTACTAGTATTTCTTCAAAACAGAGGCTGAATTTGAGCCAGCAGGTTCAGGAGACACAATAATAGCTCTAAACACGCAACCCCACCAAAAAGCCTTTGTTGCAACATTGTTTTCTGTTGATCAAAGATTTATTAAAGAAATTGTTTACAGGCATTGGTTTTGACAGCCACTAAGAAACTCAAAAGCAGTAGGAGAAACAGTATGTTCTGTCCCTTCAGTTGTTTGGATGGAAATCGGACGCACCGATTTGTAAACACACGCACGCTTCTGGGTAATGTCATCTGTAATTGGCCAAATTTCGGTTATCTTAGCCCCGCTCATTTGAGACATCATTATCTGCCTTGTTATGAAATTGTTAGAACACATCTGCCCGTGACCTCTGAGGGGTCACTCGCTGGGTCGTCGTCACGGTAACTACAGAGCGGAGTGATTGGGCAGCCTCTGACGTCTCTCAATTTCCTGTGTTTTAAGAAGCTTATCTGGTTTCACACCCTGGATAAAATGTTTGATAGAGGACACGATTCATACAGAGGCAGAACCCAAAAGTCTTGTGAGACCAGTGACCAACACTCATTTAGAAGGAATGCAGGAAAGTTACATTAGAAAAAAAAAAGATAGATGCACAAACATCTGCATAGTTCACTGAGAAAGATGATGAAATGTTACTGCAGCACATATAAATACTACACAAAAAACACTACTGTAGTACATCTGTCTTTAATTTTTCAGATCATTAGGTATGTGTGTGTAATGCTGGATCCTTCCTCCTGGATATGGAGTCTCTCTCTCTCTCTCACTTTGGTGTTCACACAGAGTTGCTAGTCAGATGCATTTAAAATGAACACTTTCACCTCCCTCTCTCTCTCTCTCTCTCTCTCTCTCTCACTCACACACACACACACACACACACACACAACATCCATCTCCACCCTCCTTTTCCCAGTGGACAAATGTGGACGTAAAAGTATTTGAGCAAATCCTACATCTGGTTGGCTGTTTACTCCCTCATATACTTACACACGCAGAGAATTGTCTCCACTTCCAAAATGGAAAAGTCTGCTGGGGGCTAAGCAAGCTTTCTTTGGCTCGGTTTTCAGCGTGAAACGTGTGCCAGGGGTTTAGCAACACCTCGGAGAGACTGAAGACTTTTTGCACCGGAAACTGAAAGGTATGCTGAGCTACGAAGTGTTGTGGTAATTTTTTTCTTGAGTTTTGAACATAATCATGATGGGATTTTTTTTAAGTTAACAACTTCTTAAGATCCCCATGTAAAATTAGAAGCATCGCTGTAAAATGTTTAAGGAAATGCTTTACCTAAGTGTTCAAACTATTATTATAATCATCATCTTTTTAATAATTCCAGTAATAATGTCTAAAAACTATCAAAAAGAAAACCGTATGATGTCAGTGCAGTCTAAAGCATTGTTCTTGTTACATTGTCTTGCACGTTATTCCCTTTCTTTTCTGCAATGTGTTAGAAATTAGAAAGCCAGATTGCATCTCATTTTACTTGTATATGCACTTCTGGAAAGTTAGCTGACATTAGATAGAATTGTGAATTTAAATGTCTTTTTTTTTTTCAAGAGAGCAGAATAACTCTGGTTAGTTTTGGACTTTGCCGTTTCATTTGACATGTAATATGAACCAAATATGAAGGAAATAGTTTAGATAGTTTCAGCGGTTATATGCATCTGAAAAATACTTACTTTCTCCTTTATTCTATTAGATAACTACAAGCTTTTCCAATGACTTAAACAGAAACAGTGTGTTAGCTTGACAGGCGTAGCATTCTGATTAAGAATGTGCAACATTTGAAATATGACTGGGATTATTTTCAACAGCTGTGAACATTATTTAGGGCTCAGAGTTAATCTTAATAAATGACAGTTAGACTTGAATGATGAGAAGCTTTTTCGTATTGTATAACACAGGCAGAGTAAGCAGATTCGTAACATATTCAACATTTTAAAACTTGGTCTCACTTTTCCAATTCTCACTATTAACTAACATTTAACTATGATTTTTTCCTCAATTAGCTCCTAATTTGCTACTTATTAATAGTAGTAAAGTAGTTGTTAATTGGGTGTGGGGTAGGATTAAGGGATTTAAAATATGGTCATGCAGAACAATGCATTAATATGTGCTTTTTAAGTACTAATAAACAGCCAATATGCTAGTAATATGCATATGCTAGTTAATAGTGAGAATTGGTCCCTAAACTTTAGCCTACGTGTTACCTAAAACTCAAGGTTTGCCAGATATTTTATATTTACATTTTAGAATTAATAACTAGGCCTACCATTAACTTTAACTAAAAACTTCAAACTGCCAAATATGTCGTCAGCTGCTCGAGGATTTGACCTTATGTTACGTAGTCTGATCGTGATATTTGTTTCAGAACCTGTGTGTTTGTGTTGTCCGATCATACATTACCCGGAAAAATATGAAAAGAATGCCTGGCCTGCTACTTTGTGTTATATACAGTATACTATTGGAGAGCAGGACTGAATCCCCCAAACACCACAACCGATTTCCCGGCCAATCCGATATGTTCATGTGCCCCACGCCTATGTTAACAGTAACCAGATGTATTGTGCACAGCCTGCAGAGAGCTATAAAACACATCTGCGCTGGACCCGAACTCACCAGAGCTATGGTTACACGCGCACACACACTCGCTTTCTCACAATTCTGTCTCACAGATTTCTCTTTCTCACACTGACAAGATGTAGAGGAGAGGATGCTGCAACATCAGTCCCAGTGGACTGTCCATGGTCAACACGCTGTGGGAGTTTGTTCTCTGTTTTATGCCTCGTAATAGACAGACAATAAGGCTGTCCACAACCGTGGGACGGGTTCCTTTAATAGGATTCAGAGTGTCCGTGGAGGGTTTGAACATTTTATGGATAGTCACGCAGAGCTTTTCAGCACACTCGAGACATTTTCCTCATTTTTATTGAGTCGTTTTTTATTTATTCTAGCAACCTGTGAAATTCAGCCTGTGATTTATAGCCGTTTTATTATTTTTTTCTTAGCTTAACTTTCAGGAGTTTCACAATCTTGTATTTTCCTACTTGAGGGGATCAAGAAGTTTTAGTGAAGGTTTAAGAAAAATGGAGCATGATAGATGATTTTGCATTTTATCCCAATGCTACAATAACATGTTTCTTCATTCCTGCTTCACATGAGAATTTGCCCTTTTTTTTCTCATTTCAGAACTTCAGAACTCCCGTTCCTGAATCATCCTGCATAATCAACGCCATGGAAACAGAATCTACCTATAACCTGACTGCACCCACTGTGTCTTTGTTGCACCATAACTTGACAAACTCATGTGACTACATATCCACCTCAGCCTCGCAGTACCAGAAGAAAGTGATCCCCACTTTGTACAGCCTCATTTTCCTGCTAGGTTTTCTTGGTAACATGCTGGTGGTGTGCGTGTTGTATCACAGTTCAGGCCGAAGGACGGTAGCCAACACGTATCTGATGAATCTAGCCATGTCGGACTTGCTGTTCCTGAGCTCTTTGCCATTCTGGGCTGTTTACTATTCGCTGGATTACAACTGGGTTTTTGGGAAGGTCATGTGTAAGCTGTGTGGAGGTCTGGTAACGATAAACGTCTACGCTAGTATATTTTTCATCACCTGTATGAGTGTGGATCGATATCATGCCATCGTCTACCCACTGCACTCTCAGAGCAGCAGGAGCATAAATCAGGCCAGATGTGTCAGTGGCATCATTTGGGTCGTGGCGGCTTTGACGACATTGCCGACAGTTGTGTTCCGTGACATACACACTTTTCCCAGTAACAACGTTACGGCTTGTGTCATTTATTTCCCCAACTCCTACTGGCAGAACACTCTGACTCTTGGAAAGAACACCCTGGGATTCTTCTTGCCATTTGTCGTCATTGCAACCTGCTACAGCCGAATCGCCGTGCACCTTCTGGCAACCCCAAACTACTTGGAGCAAGGCTCCACCCGACTGGTCCATGTGTTGCGTATGGTGGTCGCTGTAGTATTGGCGTTTTTCTTTTGCTGGTTCCCATTCCACGTTCTGGCGTTCCTCGGAGCTCTGGGGGAGCTGGGTGTGGATTTGGATTGCTGGGTGCTTCAAGTGATCCATAAACTCCTGCCTTTCTTCCTCTGCCTCGGCTTTTCCAACTCTGCCATAAACCCGTTCCTGTACTGTTTTGTGGGAAATCACTTCCGAGAGAAGCTGTGGCAGTTTTACGGGGATATGCTGACGCAGAAAAGAGATTCCATCAGCACAAGACTGTCTTCCTTCTCCAGGAAACTGAGTGACCTCAAAGAAACCGTGCCTATGGAGATTCTTGAGCAGCAGAGCAGCGCGTAGTGGAATCTGGTGAATCTACAACCTTATAACTGCAGAGGACCGTGTCGGTGTCGGTCAAGTGCTTTTCCATGGACTGCCACTTGTTTGGGATGATCAGTTCAGATGTTGTTGTTGGTTGCTATAATTGTGTTTGTGTCGCTGTGTCTTGTTTCTAATTACGCAGTGGTTTTGATTAGCTCCAGCATCTATAAACAACATTTGGTTACATATCAATGTGTAGAAATATAGCCCACATATTATTCTTTGATCAGACTTTACCCAGGATGAGGACTTTTCTGCACAAATCATAGATAATAAAAATAAAAATAAAAATAAAGGTTTTTGATTACAGCTGTACAGTCTTAATATTTGGATTACTGGTAATATCAGAGTTGTAAATAACACTCAAATGTTAGACAATGTTAATCATGTCTTATATGGCTGAAATCTGCCAGACAGACTAAAACTTATCTTTTAACTGTAATATACAAAGTCACAAAAATGCAACATGAGCTGTTAAAATGATAAATCATTGTAAATTGAATTATAATTCTATTATAATGGAGCATCAATAAATGATGCAAGTATACAACTGTTTTGTTCTGATCTATCTATCTATCTATCTATCTATCTGACAATATCTGTCTGTCTGTAATCAACATGGTGAGAATAATGAGACTGTCATCTGAAACTATGAACTTCTGACTGAAAGAGGTGTGCTTTTAAAATGGAAATATCCACATGAATGTCTAGTTAACATTCAGTATTTTACACATCACAGATCATTCTTAAATCGGTTCCTATGTGCATCAGCATAGTGTTTAGCTACTTTATTCCCAGTCTGCATTAGCAGACATCTATAAAATAGTTAATAATTACTATATAAAAAAACAGCCTTAGTTCACAGCATACGCTGGCCCATCAGCTGGACAACATCACTTGTCCTAATTTTCCTTTCGCATTAACATTCTGCGAGCTCCAACCTCTTAATGCTCCTGTAAACACCAACATCATGATGACAGCCGTTATTTGAATTTGCATCTTGCTTTGTTGAGGCCTGCTGTCTCGATAGCCTGCATTACAGATCTTAAGAGAATTTCTTGAAGATCTTACAGATCTTAAGAGAATCCTTGAGCTAGCGCACACTAGAACAGATGTAGATCGACACACCTTTCAAGTCATGTAGGGTCATCTAAAACACTTTGAACACCAACTGGAGTAATGCACTTACTTAACCAACAATAGTTCTTCAGCTCTTCCAGGAATCTGGAAGAACCTGCTTAGTGTCTGTCTCTGAGAGGTTTAGCAATAGTTCAGAAGTGTAGTACATATTTCTCATTTTGATTTTCTAAGGTCCGCCATTCCCTGTAGGCACAGTTGCTGCACACATTCTCTGTAATGTTTTTTTTTTCTCACGTTCATGAATCCTGTTGTTATCTTTGTTATTTAAATACTTATCGTTTGCTCCAATGACGCAAGGTCTTCCCTAAACCTCCGGTCTAAGAAATGATCAGACATCAGTGTTTTCATCTGTCAATACTTATTTCAATTTCAGTTTCTTTATAAAGACAAGAACCAGATTTGACACCTTTTCAGTTGATGAAGCATTCAGGGGGAGGACGTTTTTAGACTGATGAAAAATGTTTATAAAGAGAAGCCAGGGTGGTTGTTGCATAATAGTTAAGAATCTGGACATGCATGCATAAACTTTCTCTTGACGATTGAGTTTGTATCATTTTATCAACTCCATATCATATAACTGCAATACATATCTTTGTTGGAAAGTGTGTGTCTCCACCTCTTTGCTGCCATATTGTTACTTCTAACTAGGTTAGGATACCTCTCTAGCAATCTTAAAGGGGTCATATGATGCTGCTAAAAAGAACATTATTTGGTGTATTTGGTGTAATGAAATGTGTTTATGCAGTTTAAAGTTAAAAAAACACATTATTTTCCACATACTGTACATTATTGTTTCTCCTCTAGAAAGGAAAAAATGAAATCGCATCATATGACCCCTTTAAATAATTTAGAATCTGAGACCTAATCTTAACACTTAGGAACCTTTATAATCACACTTTAAGTCTAGCAATAAGAGTAAAATTACATCGTTCTTAGAATTTTGACACTTAAAAGACTTAAAATTTTACTCTGAGCAGCTTTATACATATGGCCCCTGGTCTGTTGATGCAAAGGTTTCAGATTCAGATCATAATAATTTTACCTAGATCACAGTTCCATCCCCATGTGCCCTACAGCCTAGCATTGAGCTGGTGATCCTCACACCTACTATTAGTGCACTTAAAATCTGCCTTCAAAGACAACTCCTGCATGACAGTGTTAACAACCACTGCACTAGAGCATCATGAAAAATACCCATCTATGGATATGTTGTCCTTGTAAATATTCCAAAAATGACCAAAATATATTTTATATATTATTAATCTTTTCGAATCTGACTGTGAAATTGAGTTGAGGCTACTAATTATAGATGTTTAAATTTGAAGAACGACATCCAGAATCAGCCAGCTTGAATTTGGGCATATGAGCCTCAAACTACAGATACTTTCTGGACCGTGATTATGTGTGTGTGTGTGTGTGTGTGTGTGCACATGATCCAACATTTGTTGTTCTGTTGACCGATGAAAGGAAATTATTAATAAATTTATTCCTGCAGGTATTCTGTTCCAGCCAATACACAGCACACTGTAGTGTACATCTGTGCAGATAGATTAATTTTGTACCTATGACAGTCTGTGAAACTTAAGAGATCAGAGGGTCTTCGGTGCACCCCATTTGTCTCACTTTGTCATTGTTTCAACAGCAGAACAGAACACAGTGTTCCTGAACACTCATACTGTAAGCTGGACTGCAGACAAAGACCACGCATACACACAAATATCAACATAGACATTATTATCTTACATCAAGGAAACAAATTCAAAGTTGAGTGAAGGTGAGCCATGTTAAGTTGTATGTGTCTTTTGTTGTTGTTGGGGGGTAGGTATGCATGAGAGGTGTGTGTTTGTGTGTTCATATGTAGTGGTTGCAGTCTGGCAAGTTTTAAATCACTCTCACAGACTAAACTGCCCAGTTTTCCACACGCAGGTAAGAACCTCTTGCTTTATAATGCCCACACACACTATAGCAAAGAAATGCACTGACATTTACATTTTGTAAATGTTCTCCTCACAGATATAGTGAAACGTGTCTTAAACCAAGCTTAAATGCTCCTTGTGAAAACAATTGCATATGGTATCTGATTTAACTCTTAAGGTCTGGGAGTTGAACTCATCTGTGTGTTCAAGTTTTTGTCTGAGTGAGTTTGGATTACGTAGCAGGGGTTCTTCCTCTAACTGTGATCAATGACAATTTAACAAAACAAGCAATAAAGATGATTTCACTATTCTGGGAAGTGAGGAGGACATCCTGCCATTATGTTAGAAACTTAACCGATACGTGTGTGATGTTGTGCTTTTTGATCCTGGAATGTTTGAGGAGGACATGGCTTTTATGAGTGTGCTAAGACAAAAATGAAAATATCTTCACTAATATAGTCAGAAACTGACATTTGAAGTGCACTAGTACTATTTGAAAGGCTCATAAATCAGCCAAATTATTACATCTAATACTATCAACAGATTTGGGCGAGGGTTAGGTTTAGGGACAAAGTCAATATAAAAATCTTACTTGTGTACCTTTGCACACACGTTTTCATCTGTCTGTCCAAATATACATGAGACAATTTATTATTTATCATCACCGCTGGATTTTGAAGCATGCAAACAATGCCAAGGTCAGAGGCATTCATCGTGATATCACAAAAATTGGACTGGTATGATTTCAGTCGCGCTAAAGCGTTTCTATGACATTTAATAAGACAAATTATTGTTTTAGTTCGACTGAAATCAAACTCTTACAAAGCATGCAAGAACATTATTCAAGGATCTGTAAACAGAACAGATCCTTTCAGATTGCTGGCACTAAAAGCCAGACACCAATGAGGGAAATGTTGGAATATACAGCTCCATATCACTGTGATATCATAGAATTAGCTCTATAAAGCATGTGCATGAGAAAACTTAAGTATTCCACAAACACAAGATCTTACAGACAGTTTTCTCATCACTCTTGTGTCTGTGTTGCTGTGTTTTATGACCTGTTCTTCCTCTTTGCCATTGTCCTGAATGTCTTCCAGCTCATTTATTTTTAGCTATTTATGTCTTCACCACTTAAGTGCTAAAGGACTAATGCATCCCAACACAATGCAATTACTATGTCAAGTGCAATTCCAAACAGTGCATGAAGACAATGAGTCTTCTGAGTTTCTGTTCTAGATGGCATGCTAGATAACACACACATACTGAAAAAAAAGTGGAAGTGCTGCATTTTTCTGCAGTATGTGCATGCATCATCTTTGGGGAGTACAGGAGCCTGATTGCGCCAATCTCAACCTGTTCTGAGATTATATAAAATCTGTAATAATGTTGAACAACTGGCACTAATAAAATGAGCATGTCAAAAATATACTGTACCTATGGTATAAATAATAACAGAAAGAGAGATAGAAAAACTGAAGCTGTGCTATAAAGTATATCTGACTTCAATTTTCATGTATTTCTAATATAGGCCTGACTGAAGAAGAGGATCTTGCCATGTCCAGTGGTACACACACACACACACACACACACACACAAAATATACATTTGTAAACCAAATACACTCTAATAAGTGGTTTTCTATTATTGTAGATGTTAACAGGGAGGCCGTATTCCAGGCGACAAAGGTTCGAACCCATTTGAAACAAGATGGAAGCTGGATCAACAGATCTCAAAATGTTGAGGACACACAGTCAGATGTAAAAGCACGGTAAATGCAGGTTTTCACTGTCATCTGCTGGCTGAGAGCGGTAGTATCAACCAGCCAACGTCTTTCTCATGTTTGCTTGAACTCTCAAATTATTTCACGTTTTACTCTCTAACAGTAAACCAGTAAAGCTAGGAAAACTTAAAAATGTGTCATCACCTGAGAGCAGTTCGGTCTCTTCCTCCATCATGCCATGTGCAGAGAGTACCGCCGCCACCTCCTCCAGCCTGGACTCGTCCACACCCCCTCAAAGCTCTTCTGTCATGTCAGCCTTAAGGAAGTTTGAGTGAGAGCTTTTCTTATTTTCCTTGTGTGTGATTCCTGTATTCAGTGTTTCTGCATTCAATCAGGGGCCTAAGGGAGAGCAGTCTGTTCTCCCTTAGGTCCCTGAACCCAACAGAAAACACACCAGTCAAGAAGTGGGTCCAATCTGGCCAAAAGGTTTGGTACATCTTTCTTTACTGGATAGAGCCTTTTATCCTTTAATTTCCTCAAATGCAAGTCAGAATAGCTGAAGCAGAAATCCTTAATTTCTAACAATACTGAACTGCAATATCAACATTTAATATTTCATTAAGGCCAATCAGATGCTTCATAATTATTCTGAATGTGTTCCAGTGCACATCCTGTCCTTGAGGACTCCAGGAGAGCACATGTAGAGAAAGCAGTGGAGCCATCCATAGTCAAAGCCACAGAGCAACCACTGAAGACACCAGCAGATGCTTCTGTAAAGGACATAGTGGAAAAAACAATCGCCATACCTGCAGAGGAACCATTGAAGACACATGCAGATGTTTCTGTAAAGGACATAATGGAGAAACCTATAGAGGAACCTGTAGAGGAACCGATGAAGACGCATGCAGACGCTCCTATGGAGAAACCTATAGTTAAACCTATAGTTAAACCTGTAGAGGTACCATTGAAGACACATGCAGACATTCCTAAAACGGATGTAGTGGAGAAACCTATAGAGGAACCATTGAAGACACATGCAGATGTTTCTGTAAAGGACATAATGGAGAAACCTATAGCTAAACCTGTAGAGGAACCGATGAAGACGCATGCAGACACTCCTAAATTGGATGTAGTGGAGAAAGAACAACTGGCACTAATAAAATGAGCATGTCAAAAATATACTGTACCTATGGTATAAATAATAACAGAAAGAGAGATAGAAAAACTGAAGCTGTGCTATAAAGTATATCTGACTTCAATTTTCATGTATTTCTAATATAGGCCTGACTGAAGAAGAGGATCTTGCCATGTCCAGTGGTACACACACACACACACACACACACACACAAAATATACATTTGTAAACCAAATACACTCTAATAAGTGGTTTTCTATTATTGTAGATGTTAACAGGGAGGCCGTATTCCAGGCGACAAAGGTTCGAACCCATTTGAAACAAGATGGAAGCTGGATCAACAGATCTCAAAATGTTGAGGACACACAGTCAGATGTAAAAGCACGGTAAATGCAGGTTTTCACTGTCATCTGCTGGCTGAGAGCGGTAGTATCAACCAGCCAACGTCTTTCTCATGTTTGCTTGAACTCTCAAATTATTTCACGTTTTACTCTCTAACAGTAAACCAGTAAAGCTAGGAAAACTTAAAAATGTGTCATCACCTGAGAGCAGTTCGGTCTCTTCCTCCATCATGCCATGTGCAGAGAGTACCGCCGCCACCTCCTCCAGCCTGGACTCGTCCACACCCCCTCAAAGCTCTTCTGTCATGTCAGCCTTAAGGAAGTTTGAGTGAGAGCTTTTCTTATTTTCCTTGTGTGTGATTCCTGTATTCAGTGTTTCTGCATTCAATCAGGGGCCTAAGGGAGAGCAGTCTGTTCTCCCTTAGGTCCCTGAACCCAACAGAAAACACACCAGTCAAGAAGTGGGTCCAATCTGGCCAAAAGGTTTGGTACATCTTTCTTTACTGGATAGAGCCTTTTATCCTTTAATTTCCTCAAATGCAAGTCAGAATAGCTGAAGCAGAAATCCTTAATTTCTAACAATACTGAACTGCAATATCAACATTTAATATTTCATTAAGGCCAATCAGATGCTTCATAATTATTCTGAATGTGTTCCAGTGCACATCCTGTCCTTGAGGACTCCAGGAGAGCACATGTAGAGAAAGCAGTGGAGCCATCCATAGTCAAAGCCACAGAGCAACCACTGAAGACACCAGCAGATGCTTCTGTAAAGGACATAGTGGAAAAAACAATCGCCATACCTGCAGAGGAACCATTGAAGACACATGCAGATGTTTCTGTAAAGGACATAATGGAGAAACCTATAGAGAAACCTATAGAGGAACCATTGAAGACGCATGCAGACACTCCTAAATTGGATGTAGTGGAGAAACCTATAGTTAAACCTATAGAGGAACCATTGAAGACGCATGCAGACGCTCCTAAATTGGATGTAGTGGAGAAAACTATAGTTAAACCTATAGAGGAACCATTGAAGACGCATGCAGGCGCTCCTAAATTGGATGTAGTGGAGAAAACTATAGTTAAACCTGTAGAGGTACCATTGAAGACACATGCAGACATTCCTAAAACGGATGTAGTGGAGAAACCTATAGAGGAACCATTGAAGACACATGCAGATGTTTCTGTAAAGGACATAATGGAGAAACCTATAGCTAAACCTGTAGAGGAACCGATGAAGACGCATGCAGACACTCCTAAATTGGATGTAGTGGAGAAAACTATAGTTAAACCTGTAGAGGTACCATTGAAGACACATGCAGACATTCCTAAAACGGATGTAGTGGAGAAACCTATAGAGGAACCGTTGAAGACACATGCAGACACTCCTAAAACGGACGTAGTGGAGATACCTGTTGAAGAACCACTGAAGACGCATGCTTACACTCCTAAAATGTATGTAGTGGACAATATAGTTAAACCTGTAGAGGAACCACTGAAGACACCTACAGATGTTCCTGTAAAGAACATAGTTGAGAAACCTGCAGAGGAATCACTGAAGACACACACAGAGACTCCTGTAGAGGGAACAAGGAAGACACCTGTAGATGGAGCTTCAACAGATCAAACACTATCCAGTGGAGTGCTGCAGGAGAAAGCAGTCAAAACCCTACATGAGAACCCAGCAAAGCCTTCAGGTACACTGACTACAGAGAATCAAGAAGATGATACAGTTGAACAAGTCTCAATAGCACATGCACCTGTAGTTGAGGCTCCACTCGAACCCAGACAAGCAGAAAACCAGCCTACAAGTGAACATGGGGAACTTTCACTAGTATCTGCTCTGGAAACTCCAACTACAGAGTCATCAACTAGATCAACTACAGAACCGACCGAAGAACCCCGTCTGGCAGCCCTGGAAGAGAACCACAGACTGAACAGTCAAGCTGAATTGAAGTAAGTCACTTATAAGACACATTTATTTAAATATGATGTCTGTGGACTTCTTTGAGTAGGTGTTATGATATTTTGCTTTATTTAATTTCTATAGCAATAACATTACAATATGTAATTAAAGGACCCACAAAATATTAACACAGTAAGTATATAGTTTATTAGTTAAATTCAGTTATGCAAACACACAGAAACATCAACACTGTAAAATTAAGTGTGACCTGTCTGTTTTACTGAATACCTTCATTTATTTTTACAATAAAGTTTACAGGTATTAGTATTTAACACAGTTCCATTCTTAATAAGTCGTGTGTGTATCTGTCTCTCTTTGTAGTGTCAAAGGTAAAACCATGTGTTCCTTCTGCAAGCTGCCCATAGATGGAAATGTGAAAATCTCCATCAACATTCCTGCCATTTGCTGCCATCCGGATTGTTTCAAGGTTTACTTTTTAAATCTTTTCTTCCTCTGTACTCAGGCTCAGAAGTTATTGAGTCTTGTCTCATATTTCCACTTGGTTTCAAGGTTTTTGGTGATCTGATCACAGGTGGTCAGTGCTCAATACAGATGTTAACAAGGTCAAAAACATTTTGTGATGGGATCATTGAAACCTACAGAAGCCCAAGACATTTGTTATTATTATTTTTTGTTTTCTCGTGCTTGCAGCTCAAAGGGATATTTCGTTTACTCGCCCTCAAGTGGTTCCAAACCTGCATGAGTTTTCTTCTGCTGAGCACAAAAGAAGATACTTTGAAGAATGTTGGTAACCAAACAGTTGATGGCAGCCCGCTGTTTCCATAGTATGGAAAAAATATTATGGAAGTCAATGGCTATCATCAACTGTTTGGATACCAACATTCTTCAAAATATCATCATACTCAAAAATCAATCGAATAACATGCAGTACTAGACAAATGCTGTTGTTTTTCATTTTTGTTTGTTCTCAGCAAAATGTGTTTTTTTTTTCATTAGTTTTGTTTTTTGTTCAGAGAGCTTCTTTTCAAAAAGCTACCTGTTAGAATAAAAAAATAAATGTTTTGTTTGTTTTGGAATGAATCTACACATGCTAATATGCTTTGATTATAATAATAAAATCAAATCAGTCACAGCTGTACTTTTTTTCAGAGACAGGGTCTGTTGTAACCTAAACATTTTACTTGTGTATTTAACCTTTTCAATGGTCTACAAGAAAATCTCAAGAGACGCATGTTAATAGCAGGTGGAAAAAAATGCCTATGCTTGGAAGCAAGGCCCAAAATGAACTTTTCGACCACATCTGCCAATGCCAGTGAATTGACTTTATGTTTTACGGCCTTGGAACTTTTTCTTTATTTTCTGTGAGAATTAAGATGTGCCGCAGTGTGATGAGTAAAGCTGTGTCTGTGTATGTGTGTGTTTTAGTGTAATGGTTGCAGCAGTCCTCTGGATGATCTCTCTTCATCTATGTACCACTATGCTGGGAAAATCCTCTGCGAGAAATGCTTTGATCAAATCTTCCAGCTCTGATGACTCATCCTACTGCAAACCTACTCCACAACAACTTATCACCATGACACCCAAGCACATCTCAGTGTCTACCAGCAAGTTTGCTGTAATTCAGCACTAATTTAAAAAAAAAAATCAGTCTTTATCAGTAGAGGAACTGCTGTCGTAGGGTTATTGCACATAAATTCAACACCATTTTTCATTAAATGGTCGTGCTGTGTGTGCATGTCTTCCTATATACTGACAAAATTCCCCATGGGGTTTAATAAAGTATTTCTCTCTTTCTGATCAATATATTCCTTGTGTTCTTCTAACAATTCACTTTTTAAAATGTTTTTTTTTTTTAAATATCCTATCAGCTTAAAGGAGAAGTTCGCTTTCAGAATGAACATTTCCTGATAATTTACTTACCCTTATGTCATCCAAGATGTTCATGTCTTTATTTCTTCAGTCGAAAAGAAATTAAGGTTTTTGAGGAAAACATTCCAGGATTTTTCTCCATATAGGCTAGTGGACTTCAATGGGGATCAACCATAGACTGTATAAAAACATGGACAGAGTGTCCGTGACGTCACCCGTAGGTTTCTGAAGAGCGTTTTTGAAGCTTAAAGTTGAAGGAGCCGGCCGTCACCATCTTGGCAGCGCGTCACCGCGTGTCACTTTTGATAATTCAACACTAATTGATAATCGAAAATGGGCAAAGAGGCGGGAGCTGGTTGCTGAAACCACGCCCACCTAGCTCGACGGAGGGGTCAGAAGCGGCAATCCACCTGTCACTCAAGTGGCCACGCCCTTAATTATGCAGAACTTTAAGGCTTAATATAATTTAAACGGATGAGTTATAAAAAAATTCACCCCCCTCACAGTTGTCATGAAGGGCAAAATTAGCTATATAGACCAAAACCACTGTTTGTACCAGGCTGTAAACATTTTTTTTCTGCTGTAAAGTTGGGGAGTCTATGGGAATGACTCTCTTTTGGAGCCAGCCTCTAGCGGCCAGTCGATGAATTTTAGTCACTTCCGTGTTGGTTTCACGAGAGAGAGGGAAGGTTGCTGCTTGGGATCAACGTGTTGAAGGTCCAAATAGCAGTTTCAGTGCAGCTTCAAGGGGCTCTACACAATCCCAGCCAAAGAATAAGTGTCTTATCTAGTGAAATGATCGGTCAAGAAAAATACTAATTTACATACTTTTTAACCACAATGCTCATCTTGCTCTAGCTCGACCTCACACATTACATAATTACGCACATGTGATGTAGGCGGAAGTAGCGACCTAGTGTTTACAAAGCGAACGTGCAAAGAAAGTCTTTTCAACTTTACAAAAAAAGGTTAAACAAATAGAAAATGAGGTGGAGATTACCCTACCTTTTTAACCGACGAGACAAAGAACTAACCGTTCATGACTTTTCCAATGTGATTACTCAATGAATGAAGTCATGGATGCACATAACAGAGCTAGTGCAAAACGAGCATTTGTGGTTAAAAAGTATGTAAAAAGAAAATGATTGTTTCACTAGATAAGACCCTTGTTCCTTGGCTGGGACCTTTGAAGCTACAGTTATTCCATCAAAACTAGTTTGGATCTTCAATCCGTTGGCCACCACTGAAGTCCATTATATGGAGAAAATTCCTGGAATGTTTTCCTAAAAAAAATTTAATTCTTTGTCACTGAAGAAAGAAAGTCATGAATATCTTGGATGACATGGAGGTGCTTGGTGCTCCTGGAAATTTTCATTCTGGAAGTGAACTTTAACTTATCCGGTTTAAATGTCTGTAGCTGTGACAACAAATTGACAACACTGATCATCCGCTTTCATTAAAGGAAATTAAAGTTTATTCAACACACAGTTTATGTAAATTCACTTCAGTCTGAATTCTGTATGTTTTATTAATCATTTACAGTTATCAATCTTACTGTAGAAATAATATTTAGTTTTCTGAAGTAAGCCAGTAAGTGAACAATAAAAAAAACATTAGTTCCTTGGATCGAGCACCATCATTGATCAGGTTCAGCATATTGCCACAGTTAGTCAAAATATACAACAAATACACCCAGAAACATAAAATCACACAGAAGGTGACACTAAGAATGTCTGTAAATACTGAATTCAAATTGACACAAAGAAAGCTGTTCACTACAGCGCTGTCACACAGAATAAAACACCCACATCTGACTGAGGAAACAACACACTCAAACTCTCTTAAAAAGATGGAATGTGTGAGAGAGAGATGAGAGAGGCTAAAATCCTGGCAAACCGCAAGGCATTAATAAGACCATGAAGCACAATGAATACAATCATTAAAATGAATAAATGGCCATGAGAGTATATAATAATGTGTGCAGCAAAGACAGAGAGAGAGGAGACAAATGAAGAAATACAGAAGTTAGATTCCACTCCTCCAGAGATCCACTGTACAGTAGTTTGTGGTTTTACGTGTAGTGCTTCAATGAATTGTTGCATTTTCATTGGTAAATCTACCTTAGTGTAGTTTCTACTAATTTGTCTCATGAAACCAGTGGTTTGTGTGTATGTGTGTGTGTGTGTTTGTGCTCTGTATGATAGAACTCTGCAGGGGCTTCATGGAGCTCTTTTGCGTTTCCTCACCGGCCACACTGATGACACCACTGAAACTGCTGCCACAGGCGACAGGAAAGCGGGCCTAGCAACACCGAACCTAGCAACGGATTCCCTTCCTTCCGAGAAACCTTAGAACAGCGTAGTTGTAGGTGGTGGCAACCACGTAAACGAACTAGGAAAAAAGAAGGAAGAAACAACACGTGTCTGATGTATTACTCTGCAAAAGGATTTATATATAGGAGAAATTTGAGCTCTTGTGGCATGAGTGTTTATATCCTTTTGAGACTTTACTATAAACATCAGGCAAGGAATGCAATTCCAGCAATAGCACATCATTATTTATTTACAGTCTTGTCCAAAGCAGCGTATAGCCCTTATATTTTAGAGGAACAATAACCCTAGAGCAACAGGGGCTTTAGTTCCTTGTATAGTAAAGCATAGTATTGCATAACTAAAAAAAAAATACTTTAAAAAAGTTGTGTAATTTGTTAATGCAACAATATGCATAGCTATTGAATCTCTTATATCATTAAATTATCAAGCACATTTAAAAAGAAAATCACAGAAAGAAATGTGATTAATTATACAAAAAAAGTTGTGTAATTTGTTAATGCAACAATATGCATAGCTATTGAATCTCTTATATCATTAAATTATCACAAGCACATTTAAAAAGAAAATCACAGAAAGAAATGTGATTAATTATACTGTTACATATAGTATACTTTTCAGAATTAAGACCAAAAAAGTGAAGTTCAGTCAGTGTAAATCTCTAGCAGCATTTGTTTTCAGATGACACATATCTAATGCAATGTAACTGAGACTATTAGGTGTAGCTTATGTGTCAAAATAATTTTGAGAGCTGCTTAATTACGGTATTAAATGTTTACATCAGTCTCATTGTGCTCCTCAACACGACAGAGAAGCTCTGGTTGCTCATAGTGATTGTCTTTAGATAAAGCCTGAGAAATGACTGCTGCCAAATATACAGGAAAAGGGAGTAGAGGCGCTGGGGATCTGTCATTAGCAGAGAGGTCAGTTAATGACTGTAAACTAAACATTCCCCTGCTGTTCTTCCATTATTAACTTCATGCTCTGCACTCTGACGTAAAGAATTTAGTGCGAATAAAATCCCAGTGAATTTGAATTCAATGGCAGTGGAAGTTTGTCAATAGGCGTAGAAAATATAAATGAATATGTAAATATAATAAGCAATAAATGTACATTTACATGTACATTCTAAGTGATCATCAAGATGCATCAATCACTGTCAACTGTAATTTTTAAAATAATTAAAACCATTAAAATAACGAACTTGCTGCTTTCCAGAATACAAAGCAATAAGCCTCTTGAAGAAGGCCACTATAACCTTGCACAAAATCTTCTACAGTAAATATAAATGACTTCACAGATGTAAAACATTAGACCACTAACCAGGGCAAGAAGGGTGATTCCGGCTCCAGCAAATGCACAGATGTAAAGGTCATAGGTCACATAGAACTGGAAACATAAAAAGGGATATCAGAGACATGATCGTTTGAAACTCTGAGCATGTGCGTGTGTCTAGGATAATAAACATCTAACCTCTGGTGTTTTGCAGATGCTTGCCAGTGTATTTCCACAAACAATCCCCGGCACAGCATTCCAGGGAAGAAACCCTATATAAAACAACACAGACATCATGATTGTGAGCACACACAAGCATACGTACAGATGAAGGGTGCAGACCTACCATACATCCGTGCATCCATGCAGACCCTTGCTTGCTGGTTGAACAAGGTGGTTTCTGACAGGATGTTGACTTTGTGACAGGAGCTTTCCATATTAATGAAGAAGAGCACAGGAATGGCTGTGAAGCCAAAGACAACCAGCCAGATCACGGCGAGCCATAAAAAGGGATATCAGAGACATGATCTCTTGAAACTGTGAGCATGTGCGTGTGTCTAGGATAATAAACATCTAACCTCTGGTGTTTTGCAGATGCTTGCCAGTGTATTTCCACAAACAATCCCCGGCACAGCATTCCAGGGAAGAAACCCTATATAAAACAACACAGACATCATGATTGTGAGCACACACAAGCATACGTACAGATGAAGGGTGCAGACCTACCATACATCCGTGCATCCATGCAGACCCTTGCTTGCTGGTTGAACAAGGTGGTTTCTGACAGGATGTTGACTTTGTGACAGGAGCTTTCCATATTAATGAAGAAGAGCACAGGAATGGCTGTGAAGCCAAAGACAACCAGCCAGATCACGGCGAGCACGTACGTCAGGATTATGAACTGGACAAGAGAAACAGCTAATTAGATCAGTGCAACACAACAGGCATGGACATTGCAAACTATATAAGAAAGTACAGTAAGTAAAACTTGATTTATATATAGCAGCACCTTAACAATGTTTTTACTGCTTTACACAAGTAATATACATATATGGTCATACATGTTCACATACATATATAGATATATGTATAGAATATATATAAATGTAGAAAAAAATAAAACTGACTTTATGAAATAGCTGACTAAACCAACTGCTCACAGGTTATCAGGGCACAACCAAGCAAGATGCTGTCGGATGACCTGAGTGATCTAGCTGGAGTATATATCAGAATTCCCATACTTTCTGAACTTTTCCAGTCATTTATGATGATGGAATAAGTAGTTTCAAAATCATTTTATAGAGATCACATTTACAGAGAGTAATTTCACACTGCATAAATACTTTAGAACTGAGTATAACTGAAAAAGCATATTGTCTATTGAATTTCCCATAGCTTCTCCTTGACTTTTATGACATGAGGTTTTAATATTTTTTATAATTATTATCAGTTAATGTTATATTATAAAATTAATATTATAATATTGGCTATTATAATACAAATTATTTTTAAAAGTATTTTACTGTTGATTTTTTCAGGCCAAGAAATCACATTTTTTAAATTTTCAACTTTTCCATATCGTATTATTTCATTATCAAGAAAGATGCGAAAGGACCAGCGACCACAAAATTCAGAATCTAACTCTCTCTCTCTCACACACACACACACACACACACACTTGTTTATGCTACATTGCGGGGACCAAATGTCCCCACAAGGATAGTAAAACCTGACAATGTGGGGACCGGCCTGCGGTCCCCATGAGGGAAAAAAATAAAATAAAAAATAGTAAATGATGTTTATCTGAAAGTGTAACAATGCAAACAGGTTTTCTGTAAGGGGTAGGTTTAGGGTTAGGGGATAGAAAATATTGTTTGGTCAGTATAAAAGTAATAGAAGTCTATGGAAAGTCCCCACAATTCACAGAAACACACACACACACACTCACAGTCAGGCTGAGGCAGCGCCCAAACTTGGTGCTCCTGAATTCTCCAAACGTCTGCTTTACTGCACTGGTGGTGTAAAAACCTTCAGCCAAAAGCAACAATCCATAGAGGAAAAAGAAGGAGGCCAGACCGTAGATCACATACTGGAAATATTTTATACTGAAACACAAAATATAGAATAAATAACACATGCAAACATTCATAAGACAAATTAGAACAAACTATAGCCTACTAAAGAACACTGATTAATGAAAAGCAATTCTGTTCTCACATTATGTACTGTACTGTACATAATCACCAAAAAAAGGCAATAACTCACAAGTCTGCCAGTACAATGAAATCCTGGACGTCCCTTGCGAAGTAGAGCTCTACGAATGTGCGTGTGTGAGTGAGCGCCTCATGCCCTCCCCCGCAGAAGAGCGCCACACCGGTGTAGCAGAGCAGGGTGGCCAGCAGGCTGGTGTAGGGCACGGCGCCCAGGCAGCGGATGCAGCAGTCATAGCAACCTGTAGGTGAGTAATATATCAACACACCAACTGCACATGCAGCACACACAATACACACACACATTTATACACACACACACTGTACTACCAATACACAAGTGCACTCATACTCAGCTACAAAATCACACCGATGACCTCGAAATGAGTATGCAAAGAGTTAGTTGGCCTACAGTTAGTCAAGGACACACACAAAAACACATGCATGCACATACTCAATGCTCTCTGTGAGTAAATGTATCTGATGCACACACACGCTTGTAAATAGTCAGTCAGTGTATAACGGAATCACAAATGAACAAGCCAAATGCAGACAAAGTGAACGCAGGCAATCACAAAGCCCTGTTCGAAATCCCGAACCGCAAAAGAAACCCAAATTACAAAAACCTGAAAGTAAAAAAGTCAAATACGAGGAAGCAGAAGAGATGACAGGTAAAACAACTGCGTCAATAAAAGGCTAAAAACAGTTTTTAAGCAATTTAACCAAAAGAAGCCAAACAAACGATAAGCCCCAGAAGGCTCAGCTATGGAGTTCTGTGGTCTTCAGTCTGTGAGGGAAGATGATGCATCTCAGGTCACCTAGCGCTTTACACAACCACGGCTGTTTCACTGGAAACATCGACACTGCTGAGTCGAACCCACGCCAGGAGAGAGCCACGCAGACGCTTGTCCACTCACTCCAGAGAGATGTCTGTCCTCTGTTGCAGTGATGTCTAAACTGAAGGAGGAAATTTCTCTTTCTTTCTTCGGATACACTCCACTGTCCACCTCAAGGAAGACAAAAATGCTTCGCTTAAGCTGCTCCTCTCCCTCGCTTCTTTCCCTCCCTCTCTCTCTCTCTCTCCTGAGTAGCCTGGTGTCAGGATGAGATTTGGGGGTGGGGGGGGGACGTTTTCATGTGTGTTTGAGGTTTTGTGGTCAGAAAAAGAAGCACTTGTGATAGTCAAAAAGGCTTTTGTTTTAACAACAAAAACTATCATTGTGAGCAAATAAAATACACACACACACTCACAGGCCTCAGCAGTGGAGTACGTCATTGCGTTTCCACTCATAGCGGCACAGACAGACACATACTGACACCACCGGGGTTACAATTGGGATCGTGGCAGGTCAACCAGTCTTACACTCTTTTTAAACGGTTTTCTTCTCAACAAGCCTGTCACTCACAATAATCTGATTACTATAAAACACACACTTTCATCACACCTTCTGTTTGAGAATGTGGAAATGCTTTTGGGTCCATCCATCCATCCATTCTCCAAAACACCTTAAAATAAACTCTTCAAGTACTTAATTAAAGGGATAGTTCACTCAAAAATTAACATGTTGTCATCATTTACTCACCCTCATGTTGTTCCAAATCTGTATGACCTTCTTTCTTGGGTGGATACTTTGAAAAATGTTTCTGTTTATTGTTTGTATAATGAAATTCAGTGTGGTCCAATGTTGTTTGGACACCAGTTTTTCTTTGTGTTTTTCAGAAAAAAAGAAATGTATACAGGTTTGAAACAACATGAGAGTGTAAAAATGACATCAGATTTTTCCATTTTGATTGGACTATCCCTTGTTTTGAGCAGAAAATAGAAAATTTGCTGTTACAGTTCAAACAGAAGATGTGATTCTGGGCTATTAAGTTGTTATCCAAAAAAGGAGAAACCTACAAAACAATTCAATGCATACATACATATGAATCCTTAATGCAACTACATTAAATATTTTCCCAGTTCAAACTGGCACTGGGCCGTACAAGAGACCCCTTCAGAGAAGAGAATATTTGACCTAAAGACCTGATGTGACCTCCTGGAGTCTCCTGGGGTTACTGGTCTTCTCATCCACACCTCTGAGGCGTCGTAGCAACTGTCTTAGCCAATCAAAACCGGAGCCAGCTGGTTAATCAATCAAAACAACCTTTTAATTAATAAGGATCCATTAAATGCATCTCCATCACAAATGCAGAAGTGATGCCTTTAAGCTTCTGACCAACCAGATGGCATCTTACACACATCATACAAAAAAGAATCATTAAAATGCTTGTATACATTTGTCTAAACAACTTATATCACATGCAAATCAAAGACACACCAATCAATTAAAATTCTGCCCATAAATATGAGCATAATTCTAAAATAATGAACATCATAGCAGTGGTTAAAATGGGTTTAGGTGAGTTCAGGTAGACTTACCCATGTGAGTATGTGTGTGCGTATCACGCTCTGTCTCTGTGATGTGCCGTGTAGTTTAATCTCCCTCGATGCTTTTATGATTCTCACTCACGCTTTTGTCCCTGGAACAATAAACAAGCCCCTCTGCTCTCTCTCACAAACTCACACACACACAGGGGCAGATCTTAAAGATGCAGCGCCCCTCTTTCACTGCCATGATAAATAAAGAGTAAGAGTGTTTGTGTGTGTTTCAGTGCAGTGAACCCTAAATGTTCACATGCACATGCATTATAAAGATGAGCACACTGGTCAAAATGTTTGTGCACAAACACTAGTAGCACTTACTTCTGGGCTGAGTTTTTCTACATAAACATTCCTATAAATACACTTTTACTTAGCTATATAAATGGGGACATTCCATTGACTTCAAATAGTGTTTCTGCATACAGCATGTTATAAATGCTACAACTGTTCGACTTGTAGTATTTATACATATTATAAATAATACAAGTCTAACAAAACATTCTGCATTTTTAGAATGAAAAAGTTTTTACTTTAATAGCATTTTTACAAATGAGATTTGATTCACTGTTGCTCACTTCTGGGTACAAATTTGTCCCCAAACCATGATTAAGTTGACACACACACACACACACACACACATTCATTCTTGTACAGCTATCTTTGTGAAGACATTCATTGCCTAACCCTAACCCTAAATTTAACCTAACCCTAGCGTTAACTTCATTATAACCTTGACCCTAAAACCAAGTCTTAACCCACAAACAGCCCTTTAAAGGGGTGCCAGAAAGTAAGGACCCTCTTGGTCCTCACTCCAATGGCTAAACCTCAAACTGGCTCTCACAAAGATAGAAGTACAAGTACACACACACATACATACACACACACACAGACTTTGAAGCACAGTGAGTGAGCTGTGACCTTTAGAGTCAGATTGGGACATTCAATACAATACTACAGTTGTGTCAGAAATAGGAACACACAGACAATTCACTCTTTCTGTAACACACACACAATACACACAAATTCTCTCACTCTCTTACACACGTACACAATACTATTACAGTGATGAACACAATAGTGCTAATGTGTGGTTTGAAATAAATCTAAATAATTTGTGTGCTCCATAAAAAATAAAAAATAAAAATCTAACTCAGTATTTTTGTCTTCTTTTCCAATATAAATATCTACACATTCTTAAATCATGATACACATACTTGAGAAGCAAATTTACTTAGATATTAAGTCTTGTTTTCCAAATAAACAAGTTCTATTTTTCTTATCCCACTGAATATCTGTTGTTTTAAGCATAAAGTCGTTTAATTTGGATATTTTTTTCTGAAAACAAGGCTCTTATACCATTTTGCTTCTTAAATATCTTGATTTAAGAATGTTTAGATATTATCACTGAAAAACGACAAAAATACTAAGAAAATCATTTTTGCATGGACTTGGAATAGCACACATGTATGGAAAAAACAAGCCCAAGGGTACTATTTTAAATTTTGTGTGAAATATCCCCATACAAATATTTTGTTATAGACCTATGTCAATTTGTCCTGTAGCTCTAAGATTTTCTCAGGTTCAGCTGCCAGGAAACACACAAACTGACACAATGTACCTTGAATGCGCTGTAAACGGCTTAACCCTAAAACTGGCAACGTATCCTGTGGGATACAAACATTTGAGAGGCTGTGGGGAGAGGCAGGGAAAGTGTAGGTCTCATTTCTTGATTTCATGTTGAAAGGGTGCTTGTTGTGAATATTTAGATATATTGACTTTGCTCATACATTCTTTGTTTAGCTCACGGGCAGCATTTAAAACTGCATGGCCGCCTGTAGTGGGAAATCTACTCACCCTCCTATAAAAGTTGGTCTAGTTCACATATTTACACACGTTGGAGGGGACTTACCTGTTTAAAAAGCTGTTGTTCAGCATTAGCTTATTAGGTTTACATTGAAATTTTATGAATTAAATGCTTACATTTTTTGTAATCTGTCTCTAAATGTTTGTATCTCAGGGGATACGTTGCCCTTTTAGGGGTATAAATCAAGATGATTTTGTGGATTGTGTTTTAGAAAATCAAATATTTTGGGAATTTGACAAAACGCATATCGTTGGAAAGGTCTGACAGTCAAGGTTCCATATTTGGTGACTGTTTTGTAATAGAAGTGATATTG